AATGCTAACCAGCTATAGCTTAGCTGTCCTGAGGTGTAAACAAAGTTTAACACAAAGCGTTACTGCGTCTTGCAAGATACGTGACTTTGGGGAGCGGTCCAGATACTGTGGTGTCGTATTCTAGCCATAGGGGGTGGAGGGAGCTGAGTGGCTTTTCATTAACTCTGTAAAGGGTTGTTTTAGCGCATACTGGCTCAAGAAAGTGATTAAAAATAGGAAAAAGGGACAAAAATGTATATTTTTTATGAATAATGGTGAAATCTGGTACTTGGACACCAATTTGAATGTAATGGGCATTCTTCTCCACACAGGGCCTAAATAAAACATACATACATGAACAAATATTCACAAATCCTTCAATAAGTGGTGATGAAGGCTATTTAACTGTGATGTCCTGGTACCAGTTACCAGTTACACAAGGTTCACACATAACTCAGCTTTGAATTCAACCACTTAATGCCTCCGGGTTATCTTCTGCCATCATGTAATGTAACATGATGGAGGCAGGGCCCCACGGCATGGCGTCTGACATCACCATCCTGGCCTGGGCCACCAGCTGCTGCAGAACCTCAGTTTACTGCTTGACAGCAGCGTTCCACGACCTTGTAGTTCATCCTTGCCATGTCCTCCTGCATCTGTCCCGGGACCATGACTGGTGGCGTGGGCGAATTATTGTGAATCGGTTGTTGCATGGAGACATCGAGACCGAAACAGGAAGGAAGCTTCTTTATGCTGAGCGAGAGGTGTGTGAGCCCCACGTTGGGCGCCACTGTAGCAATTACTATATATTCAATTCAATTCAATTCAATTTTTCAATTCAAGTTTATTTATAAAGCGCCAAATCACGACAAGAGTTGTCTCAAGGCACTTCACACAGTAAACATTCCAATACAGGTCAGTTCATTAAGCCAATCAGAAAAAAGGTTCCTATATAAGGAACCCAGCAAATTGCATCGAGTCAGTGACTCTACAGCAATCCTCATACTAAGCAAGCATGTAGCGACAGTGGAAAGGAAAACTCCCTTTTAACAGAAAGAAACCTCCAGAGAATCCTGGCTCAGTATAAGCAGCCATCCACCACGACTCACTGGGGATGGAGAAGACACAGCAGACACACACACACACACACACACACACACACACACACACACACACACACACACACACACACACACACACACACACACACACACACACACACACACACACACACACACACACACACACACACACACACACACACACACACAGGTTTAAAATGAATCTGAAAAGCGTCTGCCACCACGTCCATGACACCCTTTGGGTTGCCTCTTAGATTCATCATTTGTTGTGAAGTGGCTTCGTTCTCAGATCACAACAGAAGGTTTGCAGAATTCCAGCTTGTTTTCTGCACACAACAACAGTAATGAGCATGAGCAGTCAAGCGTTTTGTTTTGCTCTCTTCTTCATGTCTCTCATCTCCTATTCGTTCTTTTTTTGGGTGCGGTCTCTGTGCCCGAGTTAATAAGCTGGCAAACACTTTTCTATCAGATTATCCCGATGAAAGATCCTTTCAGCAGTGGATGGAAGTTAATTATAAAGCTTGACACACAGGACTGAGCTGCTGTAATTAATGCTATTTACTTACTTAGTTTTCCCTTTCTTTGTCAGCAAGTCACACAATCATCAAATGAGTAATAAAAATTTTAAAAAGACTATTAGAACTATGTCTGTTCTATTTTCTCTTTACCTGCTTCAGTCCAACAACCAGTAAGGTGTTGTTCAGCAGGCTGCTGCGGGTTTGACTCAGTTGTGTCATCCCCAAAGTTATCAGGGTTTAAACTGTAGATTTCCACAGTAAGAACGCGCGTGTGTGTGTGTGTGTGTGTGTGTGTGTGTGTGTGTGTGTGTGTGTGTGTGTGTGTGTGTGTGTGTGTGTGTGTGTGTGTGTGTGTGTGTGTGTGTGTGTGTTAAAGGACAGAATAATGTGGAGAGGGAGAACGTTTGAGTGGTTAGCAGCAGTGTGCCAACCGATGGCCTCCTCCATGAGGCCACCACAGCTCAGCAGAACATCATTGTAGCTTCTTCTGGGGAGAAAAACACTTAGAGAAAAGTAAACAGCTGAAATTGCAAGAAATAATACAGTTAAAGAGCAAATTGTAGAAGAAAGTGGTCAGTGTAACCTCCAGCAGTCTAAGCCTATAGCAGCATAACTACAGAGATAACACTGGATAACCTAGCTTTATAAAATAAAAACCATGCTTCAGAAAGGTGAGGAAATGAGTGAAGGCAGGACAAACAAGACGATTGCCAAAAAAAGCTGTTTTATTATTTAATCAACAATCAGGTCTCTGTAATTGCAATTTATACAGCATTCATTTAATTTATCCTAATTGTATTTGTATTGGTGAAAATTTCAAATGAAGACATCAACAGCTATGTTGTTACTATATAAATAATAATAAAGGATATCCATATAACAAGTACACTAGTAGGAAATGGGATTGAGATCTTTTGTATGTTCTTGCTGTTTTTGTCTTCAAAATCCATTTTTGGTTCTTTTTTTTTAACACAAATAAGGTTTTTTTTACCTTGCTGACAGTTTCGTTTGTGTCTGCAAACATCCTCAGAGCTGACGCTGATGGTGGAGACACTTCCTTATGGCAAGCCAAATGAGCATTTATTCTGATATCAGGATATCAGCCAGAATTGTCATGAACATGTAAGCCATTTCTGTCCACTAGTTAACTAGTTAGACATGTTTGTGTCAACTAGTTAAATATCGAGGGTGAAAATGTGCCCACTAGTTAACTAGTGACAGCAGAAATGCGCACTAGTTAACTAGTGAACACATTTAGGCTTCTGTAGTTAACTAGTTGACACAAAAACTGCTCACTAGTTAACTAGTAAAAGCAGAAATGCATAGCAGTCAGCTACTTGAAGGTATTTGTCTCACTAGTTAACTAGTGAGGGTCAAAATGTGCACACTAGTTAACTTGTGGTAGACATAAATGCGCACTAGTTAACTAGTGAACATATTTTGGCTTCACTAGTTAACTAGTTGACACATAAATGGCTCACTAGTTAACTAGTAAAGACCAAAATGCATACCAGTCAGCTAGTTGAAGGTTTTTGTGTCTCACTAGTTAACTAGTGATGGCCAAAATGTGCATACTAGTTAACTTGTGGTAGACATAAATGTGCACTAGTTAACTAGTGAACACATTTTGGCTTCACTAGTTAACTAGTTGTCACATAAATGGCTCACTAGTTAACTAGTAAAGGCCAAAGTGCATACCAGTCAGCTAGTTGTAGGTTTTTGTGTCTCACTAGTTAACTATTGATGGCCAAAATGTGCACACTAGTTAACTAGTGAAGGCTTAACTCCTAACTAGTTAACTAGTTGGAGTAGGTCAGTGCCACTAGTTAACTAGTGAACCATTAATGGCTCACTAGCTAGCTAGTTGATGGCAGCAGGCTCACTAGTTACCTAGTTGATGCATCCATTGTCCAAACTAGTTAACTAGTGAGGACATAAATGTATACTAGTAAACTAGTTCAAGTCTACATTCACACTAGCTAGCTAGTTGCGCAGAATTCTAATCAGGAGGCGGAGAATTTCTCAAATTAAGACTCTCTATTGGCTCCCTGTGTCAAAATAAAATATGACAACCAATCACAGTGCGGAATTTCGTAAAATCCCACCCCAAACATTTGCATGCGGCACACAAGTTAACATGCTGGCCAGAGGAACCTCAGCTAGTGAACTAGTAGTGGCTTCAGTGTGACACTTACATGTAAACTTGTGAAGGCAGAACTGCTCACTAGTTAACTAGAGAGGGTACAAATGTCCACTAGTTAACTAGTGAGGTGCAAAATAAGTGTCACTAGTTCACTAGTGGGCCCCAAATCGCCCACAAGTTAACTAGTAAGGTGCGGATATGCTCACTAGTTAACTAGTGAGGTGCAGATTTGCTCACTAGTTAACTAGTGCGCCCTAAAGCGCCCACTAGTTAACTAGTAAGGTGCAAAAAAGCATCACTAGTTAACTTGTAAAGTGCAGATATGCTCACTAGTTAACTAGTGGGCCCCAAAATGTCAACAAGTTAACTAGTAGGGTGCGGATTTGCTCACTAGTTAACTAGTGAGGCACAGATATGCTCACTAGTTAACTAGTGATGTGCGGATTTGCTCACTAGTTAACTAGTGAGGTGCAGATTTGCTCACTAGTTAACTAGTGTGCCCTAAAGCACCCACTAGTTAACTAGTAAGGTGCAAAAAAGCATCACTAGTTAACTTGTAAAGTGCAGATATGCTCACTAAAAAACTAGTGGGCCCCAAAACGCCAACTAGTTAACTAGTAGGGTGCGGATTTGCTCACTAGTTAACTAGTGAGGCACAGATATGCTCACTAGTTAACTAGTGAAGTGCGGATTTGCTTACTAGCTAACTAGTGAGGCGCGGATTTGCTCACTAGTTAACTAGTGAAGTGCGGATTTGCTCACTAGTTAACTAGTGAGGTGCGGATTTGCTCACTAGTTAACTAGTGAGGTGCAGATATGCTCACTAGTTAACTAGTGAGGTGCAGATATGCTCACTAGTTAACTAGTGCGCACAAGACGCACACTAGTTGCTGTTTTTGGAGCAATCTAGTTTACTTGTTATGTAAAAATGTGTTCTTACTAGTTAACTAGTGACAAATTTACCTTCACTAGTTAACTAGTTGACATATTTGGCCTTTCTAGTTCACTTGTAATGGGACAGGAAGCACTCACTAGTTAACTAGTGAGCATATCTGCATTATAATTTTTTCTCACTAGCTTATAGAGGGCAAACTGAGCCTTACATGTTAAATATTGACCACAAAACACTGTCACTAGTTAACTAGCTGCAGAAAAATGCCCCTAAAACTAGTAAATTTGTGGAATTTGAATAAATACACACTTGGCTGGCATTCTGTGTAACATGTTAACTAGTTCGACCGCTGTACTGCTCACTAGTTAGCTAGTGAGCAAATCCGGCCTTTACATGCAAATGAAGAAATGCAGAACAGCAATGTGATTGGTCCATGTAGGACTGAGAAACAGAGAAAGTATGGCGGACTCTGTTCAGGCTGTTCTAAGAGAAAATTTGATAAACTAAGATCGTTTGAGCACATAAATATGTTTTGACGATATTTGTAGCGAGAAAGTTGTGATGTATTGCTGTAATCTTTGTTCAGTTAACGTGTGCAGTCTTTAGTTTTCAGTTATTAGTCTGAAAAAGCCTGGAGGCGGAAGGCAGCGGCAGACAGCATGTCTGTTTCTGTTGACAGGAAAGTGCAGAAACTCCGCAGAAATCTCCGTCAGATATATTGTTTCACATTTGTACGGAAGCGACAAGTTTATAATAATAAAAAAGGCTCTATTTTACATACGTTGCTGTAAAGCCTGCCAGCACTCATAGTGTTTTAAAGGTATGAATTTGCGAGATGTACCACCTAGTGTTGGTGGTCTAGTGACTAACGCGTTCGCCTGCAATGGTGAAGGTCGCGGGTTCGATACTGTATCATACAGTTTAGTTTTGTACATTATTTCACTTCTTTTCTTTTGCATAATTTTTGTATTTATGTCAACAAGAAACAAAATACGTAACGGATTAGTGGGCAGAGTCACACACACACACACACACACACACACACACACACACACAAAACATGTAAACAAGTATTTTATGAGTATGAATCTGATTATTGCCGATGTCGGTACAAGATCTGCTCGGGTGCAAGATCGGCTCGGGGTCCGTCGACTGCCGATGACGTCAAAGTACGGCAAACCCACTCGGACAAAATACAGTACACATCTATACTGTTGGAAAGAATTTAGCTGTTTCGTTATTAAAATGTTTCTTACCATGTACGTTTGTGTTTAGTTGGACAAAATACACTTCGCATCTGCTTTATACTGTTCTTTCACTCAGGTTTTGGAAAGAACTTAGCAGTTTTGTTTTAAAAATAATGTTTCTTACCATGTACGTTTGTGTTTAGTTGGACAAAATACACTTCACATCTGCTTTATACTGTTCTTTCACTCAGGTTTTGGAAAGAACTTAGCAGTTTTGTTTTAAAAATAATGTTTCTTACCATGTACGTTTGTGTTTAGTTGGACAAAATACACTTCACATCTGCTTTATACTGTTCTTTCACTCAGGTTTTGGAAAGAACTTAGCAGTTTTGTTTTAAAAATAATGTTTCTTACCATGTACGTTTGTGTTTAGTTGGACAAAATACACTTCACATCTGCTTTATACTGTTCTTTCACTCAGGTTTTGGAAAGAACTTAGCAGTTTTGTTTTCAAAATAATGTTTCTTACCATGTACGTTTGTGTTTAGTTGGACAAAATACACTTCACATCTGCTTTATACTGTTCTTTCACTCAGGTTTTGGAAAGAACTTAGCAGTTTCGTTTTCAAAATAATGTTTCTTACCATGTACGTTTGTGGTTATAATGGTATTTGTAAAATAAAACACTATTGTATTCATAATGTTTAATTGCTCTTTCTATTTTGTTACTAATGTTTTATGTTTAATATTTCAATCCATTTCATCAAAATTTGAGTTGATCAAATTTTTTCATAGTTCAAATTTTATTTAAATCAAAAACACAAACACTGGAGCAATATAGTACTCATGAGTAACAAATAAGAACAAAGGTCCAAAACAGAGGATCCCAGGGTCTGACTCCTCTCAGCAAGCAAGTTGGGGATGAGATGCAGGAAGTGGAGCTACAACAAAAACAGGCTTTATATAATTTCATTATATTTACAACTGAGATGTTCATATCCCATTTAATATTTGTACAAATCAAATGTATGATGAAAAAGAAATTAACATTTGATTTTTTGTTGTCATTTATGTTTATTGTGACTTTTATAACAATTCTTTTTTAGACCATCCTCTTGGATACACTTCTTCGGTTAGTTAATTTAATCTAGTGAAGCTTTTGTGTGTTTTTGTGTTTGTGTGTGTAATATCTTGTTTTCCTATTGCATTTGCCTGCAGAAGTGACTGCAGTATCCTGGATGGGGGCATTCAGAGTAAAAGGCTTGCAGTACTCCTCTTTTTCCTGTTCCAACATATCCTGTAAGAAAAATAAAAATAAATCAACAACCATTACCTTCTGCATGTGGTCTATGACATGAATACTGCTTCCCATGATATAAAATGAAGAGCATCTAGTGTTAGTGTTGTACCAGGTGTGCTGTTTTTATATAGCTTTCCACATTCAAAGCAGGTCTCAATGTTGTACATGGCATAGAATGCCTTTCTGTGTGATGCAGAAAACATGCTCCATGTAGCAACACCTGAGGAAAAAAAAATTGTGAAAAATTCTTGAATATACTGTATTGTATACCATTGTACCCTTAATTGAACTACTTACTGTCAAGCCACAGAAAATGTGCCTGTCTCCTGAAGGAGATAGTGGACACAGTGTTTCTGAATGTGGTGCATACAAGAGCCAGTGTCAAATATGCCTTATCTCCTTCCAGGAGGATCACTTCCTTCAAGACTTCTGAGAGCACACAATCCGGCAACTGTAAAATATTGGTTAGGCAAATAAAACATATTAAGGATGTCATACCAACTGTGCATAATTAGTTTTTAACGTGAACATAAAACAAACAAAAAAAAAAAAAACAGCATTATACATTTCTCTGATGTTGTATTTCCCCTGGTAGAAAGGTTTTGTTTGTATAACACCTTTCAACATGAGAATAAGATAGCACTTCATGAGCACAATAAAAAAAATAAAAGACGGTTCAGGGAGGTTTTGCTCAGACAAGTGAAAAGCGAGTTGCAATAGTCTACGCATGAGCAGTGTGGGCAAGTTACTTCAAAACTGTAATGCATTATTACTTGTTACCCTCATTTTAATGTAATACATTACATTACAATATAACTGATTTTAAAACGTAAGGCATTACACTACTTTTGCATTACTTTAAGTTGCTTTCACCAAAACAATTTCAACATGAATTAGGTCATGTGACACTCAGTGAGCTCACAACACTTCCAGTGGAAAGTGATGTGGTGTCTGAGCTAGGATTGCTGTTAAAAACAGTCAGATATGATAACGGTTCTTCATTAAATAAATGCAACAACAAACTGTACTCTCAGCATGCTGCCATCTTAGATTAACTGAGCAGGATGTGAGGTGGTGGGGGCTCCAAGCCTATATTTGCCTTGGTCCCCAAATGCCTTGATTCGGCGATCTGATTCTATCACATGTAGAAACATTAAATGCTTATATATTATTGCTTTTCTTTCCCTGTAATGCCTTACATTACCACATTACAGCAAAAAGCAATGCATTACAGTAATTAATTACTTCTGTACCGCGTTACTCCCAACACTGAGCGTGAGGAGATGAAGGGGTGGATAACAATCTCAGAGTTCAGAGCGGGACAGAATGGGACTCAGCTTTGAAATGTTCCTGAGATGGATGAAATGTGCATATGTTGTGTGTTCAGCTGTGTTCAATGGTTGAAGTTTAAGAAAATAATTAAACTGAGATTACCTCCAGTATGAAGCATCTGTTGGCCTTTTCAAACTGAACCTAAAAGTGTAAAACAATATATATATATCTTTGTTTGAAATCATTAGGAGTTTGTGAATGGTTCAGTCACAAACAGACATGCAATTAAATGCTTTCGCAAAGTTCACCTCATTGTCCCCATTTCTGGCCTTTGGGATCCTGTATATTGGTTGCAGTGACCCTTGGAGCAATGCTTTAGCCTCATTAGTCCAGTATGCAAATCTTTGTCCATGACTGTCGAGTGATATATTAATGACAGATTAAAAGAAGTGAAGTAATGTGGAATTTGTTTTGGGAATAATATTAATAGTTGTTTTACCCATCAATCTGGAATCGTTCCATCAGACTAATGCACCACCATTTTCGGATGTGTGCCATGTCCCTCTAAAATAAATCATTTTGAAATAGTCAATAAAAGGGTAAAGTCTAGCTTATGCTTGGCCTTACAAAGACTTTATGTATGAAATCTCATTTATGGCCCTCTTTTATACTTTCCTCTTATTCAGAAGAAATTCTGACCTCTGTGAATGAAAATGGAACGCCTGTCGTCATGTTGAGTGCATACTGTAAAAAAAATTAAATTTTTTCAGAAATGGAAGTTTAAAATAACACCAAAGATTTTTTGAACAGAATAAAACTATTTACCATCAACATGAAGATGCCGCAAGAGTTCCCAGTTGTTTGGTGAGGAAAACCCTGTGTGTTGGGTATAAAACGTTAGGATAAAATCAGGTTTAAAGACATGTGCACAAAAATACAATATTGATACACTGGGGTACCTCAATGTCTCTTCCAAACTTTGTTGCCCACTTGCCTGGAGCAATGCGATGAGCTAGGTCACTGTCAAAATCACCAGAAAAACAAATTAGCAACCTCATACTTTTATTTGTGTTTAAAAAGAAGCCACTGAACAGGGCTTAACCAAGACAAAACTAAAATTATAATAGCCTTTGAACGAGGCTTAACTTTAAAACAGCCTTTGAACGAGGCTTTGTGTTCATTATTATTCAAGCAAAATGTTGAAATTCATAGTATCCTCAAGCAGATGTGATCTTTAAGAATAATTTTTAGAAATTAAATTTTGTCATTTGCCAGATAAAGCCAATGAGTTGTGTACCTGCATTTTTGGAATACTATGAATTCTGTAGAATTCCCAAACTGAACAAGCCACAAAACAGGGCTGATTTTTATGTTGAAAAAACCTAAAGATGGTATGGAAACCACTGTCGCTAAAGCCATCTGGTTTGAGTGAGTCCAGCAAAAAAAGCTCTCTCTTTGCTGGCTTCAGTACCTGTGAACCATTTTCCAAAAGAAAATTAGATACACTCTAAAAATAAATAAATGTTGAAAATAACTAAGAGTAAAAATGTAGTTCGACTGTTGATAAGATTTGAAACAGACTCACGCAAAGCAAGTAGTGGTCAGGTTTTCCGGGTTGTCGACTCCAGGCAGGGATGATTATAACATCTTTTGAAAAGATGTCACCCTGGCATTTAAACAAGTAAATTTGCATAATATTCTGTCAAGCTCCATCAAAGAACAGAGCAGATAACAAGGAAAAACTTACAGGTAGAACCGTCATTGGGTCGTCGATCTTTGTTTTCAATGTTGGAACAGCATACATGTCTAGAATGTGGACATCTATTCCCTACATTGATAAAAATGGAAAGTTTGATTACATGTGTCATGCTACATGTATGTGTCATTAATCAGAATACGCCACTCAAAAAATAAAAACTGATTAGGGCCTACTTCACCAAGGGCATTATGTTGGTTTAAATACACAGCAAAAACGTACATGTCTTTGGGCAGCTTCTTTGACAAGTCTGAAGCATGCATTTCCAATCTGCAACAGAGTAACAAAAGTCAGTACCTTTTGGATTCCTCTCCAACCAAATAAAAGTCTTAATATACCTACATTGGCTTCCATACATTGAGGAAGGCCCAAGCTCCAGAAGTCTTCCCGTGTCAGACAGACATCCCCATCCTTGACAACAATCTCTGTTCCAGATCGGTTTTTATCAAGTACATAGTTGAGCTTAAAATAATAAATTGCAAAATGTACTTTTAAAAATAGAAAACACATTGTGAGATTTAAACAATATACATTCAAAAATTTCATTCACAGCAGACATTAATACCCACCAGCATGGCTTGAACTGGGTTGATGGTCTGTTTACATCCCTGACCAGTCACGTAGTCATGATCATGTGTAGCTTGCTGCGTTACCAGCTGACTAGAACCTGGCTCCTGTTCTGCTGTTAGTGGTTAAAACACTTGCAAATTATAATCTTTAGCAGTTAAAATTCAAAAAGACATTTCTTCTGAGTACAAATAGGTTCTGTTCCTTACTACTATACCCATGCTGACTGACTAAACTGCATTCATAAATATACCTTGGAAGATATCACCTTGAGTGGTTGACATGTCTGGCTCTTTGGACTCTGAAGAGAAGATGACGCAAATATCACAGATCTACACAGACTACATTGTGTCTTTATAAGAACAATGATAATACCTCTTAGTTCAGGGCTGATGAAAGGCTTCAGCTGTGAAACATTAATGCTTTGTTTCAACTGACTCCCTGATTTGTTCAACAGCGTTGCCACACCCTTCTCTGAAAGTGAGGCTATTACGTATGGCCCAGACCAGTTGGCTTCCAGCCGCCCTCCTTTTCGACCTTCCTTTCGTTTGTTTGCTTTCATGACCTCATCACCAACTTTGAAGTGGAAGGATTTCACATGACGTCTTTTTCTGGACTCATATTCCTTCTTCTGTCTGTCCTGTGCATTTTTTATGTTCTGGTAAATCTGAGAAAATATAAAATGCTCATAAAATGATTATTCAAAACATAACATTACATTGTAGTTTTTTAGACAAATAATTTCCATTTCATAATCACCTTTGCATGCAGATCAGCAACTGCTGCAGTCTTGGCCTCCAGATGATCCTCTGTTACCTCTACAACAACTGATCTGTCATCCCCCCCTTCTTGGGTGATGTTTATCACACCAGGTGTGCGAGGTTGTCTTCCAAACATAGCACAGTAAGGTGTGTACTTGGTTGATCTCTGTTAAAAAAATACAATCAATAACATTTTACAGTCTATCTTGGTGAATAACGTTCCATCACAACTTCTTAAATAATATTGCCTGTTTAGATGTGTTGATCCCCGCCACAATTCCTCTTAAATGGATGTCCCAATCATTTTGATCCTCCCCACAGTATTTGGCCAGTGCTGTCTTTATATTTTGGTTGGTGCGCTCATCCTGTCCATTGGCTTGGGGATGGTAGGCTGATGTAATGCAATGTTTGACATTCAAAGCCTCAAAAACACCACGATTGACCTGCAGACACATTAGTGTACACCTTAAAAATACAGTATTATCCATTACAAATAATCTAAGTTGCTAATTCATGGCTTTAAAGTACATTATTGTACCTCGTTTACAAATTCCCGTCCTTGATCAGTAATGATCCTCTCTACCAGTCCAAAATCAAGAAGAATATTGACAATTTTTTTTGACACCTCAGTTGCTGTTTTAGTGTTGAGGGATTTTGCCACAACCCACTTTGTGAAGAGATCTGTGGCTGTAAGAATAAACCTGGAACATATAATGCAGATTGTTCAAAACTTATATTGCATGAATTTCATGTTCTCTGTTTTATCTAAACTATTTGCATTTACAAACTTCAAAGACAGTTACATATTTAACACAAAATCTTATGAACCTTTTGCCCTTTGCAGTGGTAGGAAGGGGACCAATCAGATCTATTCCAAGAACACTCCATGCTCCCTGAACTTGGATTGGATGAAGGACAGGTGCAACAGTCTTTAATGTTTCATGCTGCTGACAGCGGGGACACTCATCAACCTATTAAAAAAGATACTATATTAATTTTGGTTCATTTTCTGACACACATCAGCTTATTTGGAGCAATGTAGTGATGACACCAAATTAAATATATCACAATTTACATAGAACTAATCAGATGTAATGGCCACTTCCACTGAGCATACTCAGCAGGGAAAAAAAAACACAGCATAGACCAGCATAAGTGGTTACCAGTATATGTTGTCTTTTGGTGCTGGTTTAACTGGTGGACCAGCACTGTAGGTTTTTTTTTTAGTTGTTTTTTTCCCCATCAGAGTAGCCCAAATTTTGTTTGAAAGAACAACTGGATAGAAGAAAACTGTCACCCATTTATTGACATCCTTGAATAAGGTCTTCCAGTGGTAGGATGATGACACCTTTTCAAGTGTACGGCGTCTGCCAGGATGTCCCCCACTACCAAGGTCGTCATGGCAACTCCTCAATACATCGCAAATTTGCGACTGAAACACCACCAAGCGGAATTTGCTCTGAGACTTGTAATACAGGTGTCCATCTAATGCACCAGGGAAATAAAACATTTGTTTAGCGCTTAAGCACAACTGGTTGCGCTATATATACATTAGGGCTGAACTATTTTGGAAAGTAATCCATTGCGATTTTTTTTCTTGAATATTGCAATTGCGATTTAATTCACAATTATTTTCTCAAGAGGCTTTTCTCATATTTTTCAACTAACAGAAGCAAAAAAAATTCTATGTAACTTGTACTGAATATAAACAAGTTTATGTATCTACATATTTATCTACATATCATATCTACACGTTTATTTGTCTACAAACACATTGTTGTATTTGAAGGTGCAATGCTTTGCAGGCAGGAGCACATCCCTTGAAGGATCATAGGTATTAGCAACACCTGTGAAATAGTATTTGCAGGAAAGAAGTGTGTCCCGTTTATTGAAGTATTTTGTGTTTAGAGTTTTTGACCTCTTGTCCATGCGTAGTTCAGGTACGCTCATAGCTGCTAGCCAAAACTCTGGAGTTAAAAGTTTTCTGGATTTACTAAAATACCTGTCTGTACTTATTTGATTTATGGTAGTTTTACTTTCTATTAGACTCCAAATGTAATCAGTTGGCACGTTTCTAGTTCATAATTTGTAAGAATGAAATCGGCTATATTAGCATTAGCATTCCTATGGGTTTTTCCATGTATATTAGCATTGCGCTAACCACTCGCTGCCAATCAAATTACAGCCTTTGCGATTAGAAAATCTCCTTTTGTCACATCGCAATTTAAGTGCACATGCAATTAATCGTTCAGCCCTAATATACATGCAGCTCTATGCTAAAAGTGTATTTTCAAAGAGTCGCTAAAAATCAACAGGTCACAATCATACTTACTATTAATTGTGTAACGTTTCGATGCCTTTCGAATGGTGGCCTTTCTGCTCTCAGGATGTTGAGAGGCGATGGTAAGGCTGTGATAAGTCCCTTTTAAAAGGTAATAATGGATTTCTCTGTAAAAGTTGTCCATCTAGAAAATTTGTCTGGACCAACGTAACTTGATAACGACGTAACGTGATTACGTAACTTCCATAACGTGATTACGTAACTTCCAAACGTGGATCTTCAGCCAATCAACTACTTCGACGTCATCAGCAGTCGAAGGACCCCGAGCCGATCTTGCACCCGAGCAGATACTGTACCGACACCGACAGTCGATATTTAAGCATGTGTGTCCCCCTTCCTCAATCCATCCTCGCAAAATAAAATCATCGGCACAGCACAGCAGGCTTTCTCTTGATCCAGAACTAGCACTTCGAAATTGATCATGTCCGCGGCCATCTGCTGCACAATCAGCTGCTCGCATCGCGGGAAACATTGAAAACAGCTTCATGAACTGAGACACAACAGGGTTAACATCGACAAAAAAATCCACAAATAAATCTAAATAATTAATGCCATTTCCGTCTTTTTCGTTGAAATATACAAATAGCAGATCATAAATCTAGAGCAGAAAAAGCTGCTGCAGGAAGCAGGGTCTGTAGTTATTCATGCACCAATTCATCAATGTGATTATTCATCAAGATCAGGTAAACTGATATTAATGTTGCAACATTTCATTTGATCATCTGAATGATACCACACAACTGAATGACCTGTTGAGTCTCTGCATATTCAGGTATTTACTACGGAAAACAAACAACAGCAGGCAGCAGCAGGACTCCCCATGTTATTTCTCGGGTCGCTGGCCCGCGGTCGTCGGGGCCGCTGCGGTCAGCTCTTAGCCGGGAAGCCCTCGTTCGGCTGCGTGGGCTGCTTCACCGTGGACCAGCTCCCAGCAGCCGCTGGTCGGGAGAAACGCTCTGGCTGCAGCTCCGATCAGACCCTACCAACACCTCGCCACAGACAGCACCGCATTAAAAGCCCACAATTACGACCCGCTCCCCAAAGTTACAGTTCTCAAGCACTGATGAACACATACATAACCCACAACAGCTATGAAATGTGTGTTATTTACGGCAAAAAGGAGATATTTTTCAAGCCGACGTGCCAATGTTAACCGCAGTTGGCTTGGAAATGTGCTGATTTTATTATTTTTGTCAATTAAAATCCCCCTTGTTTGCTCTTACGTTTTACGAAAACGCAATATTAATTAAAGCACGCTTTAGTGATCAGCATGTAAAGCAAAGAAGAAATGTGAACATTTCAACCCATTTCGAACCAACCAGTAATATGATTTCTTAACACGGTGCAGCGGCAGCATTTAAAAACCAAAATATAGTTTTTACTCTCCAAAAAAAGGAGAAGACAGTCACGGTGCAGCAACCCATTTTAGTCCATTAATCTCCACAATAAATATCCAGACAGAGAATTTCTACGGCCTCGCTGTAAACTCCAATGTCACCCAGGACCAGTCTTAAAGAGACAACGCGCTTAAAGGGAAAGTGTGTAGATTTCTGGCAATAGGGGGTAGTAAATACCAAAGTCACTGCAAACAAGCTGTATTTTTTGTTCAAGTGAGGACCTTACTAACTAATGCTCATAAAGCCAACAAAACCCTCTGGACTCTAGCTGTAACTCTCAAATTAGGATATGAGATTAATGACTCAGGTTCACGCTCCAATACATTAATTGTTTGAGAAATGCATCTTTTTATGTTGAGTGCCATCCGCCAAATAACACACAAGAAAAGGAAGAAGAAGAGTGTTGTTGCACAGTTTTCAAAGGAGTCAAAAACCACCAGCAAAACCATAAATACAGCTAAATAAACTTAGAATCCAACATGGCGTCCTCCAGAGAGTCGGACCCTCGCCTGTGTATTTTATTACTATGAAGGGTACATGAACTGATTAGGAACACAATGTCATAGGGTCAAAGGTCAAGGTTGTGTGAGGTCATATATATATCAAAAATTGCCTGAACGGGTTGAATGATTTTGACCAAATCAGAGGTGATAGCTCCCTATCAAAGGTAGATAAACTGATCAGGTCACAACCTCATAGGGTCAAAGGTAAAGGTCGTGTGAGGCCGTATATATGAAAAATTGGTTTTTGTGTGCAATATCTTCTGAACAGGTTGAAATACTTTGACCAAATCGCAGGTGAGAACTCCCTATCTAAGGTAAATAAACTCATGACGTACAAAACCTCATAGGGTCAAAGGTCAAGGTTGTGTGAGGCCGTATATATGAAAATTTGGCTTTTGTGTGCAATATCTCCTGAACGGGTTGAAGGATTTTGACAAAATCAGAGGTCATAACTCCCTATCAAAGGTAAATAAACTCATCACATACACAAGTTCATAGGGTCAGAGGTCAGTGTCATGAGAGGTAATATATATGACCAGTCAGGCATATCCCGCGACGCTCTGCATCGATTTGCAGGGCTTTCTTGTTTCTACAGAGTTTATGTAGGGTGCTGCTGGTTTGGGGTGTTATGTCAGCAGGCAGAGTTTAGGAGTCTGACAGCTGTGGGGAAGAAACTGTTTCGGGACCTGGTAGTCTTAGTCCATAGGCTCCTGTAGCGCTTCCCAGAGGGCAGGAGGGTGAAGAGTCCATTCGATGGGTGACTGGAGTCTGATGGTTTTCCCTGCCCTTTTCAGACACCAAGAAAAAAGGAGAGTAACTTTATTTTGTTTGTGTGATTTTATTTTGTTGTGTGACTACTGGTTGCAGTTCCCTGTTCAATTGATTGCTGTTCCCTGTTAAATTTAAAAAAGAAAAAAGTCTAAAGTTTTGTTTTGACTGGAGAGAACTAAAAAAGGTTACACTGTCTTCTGGTACTAGCTCAAAATAACAAGTGGTGCTTGCTGCAGAACCACAAAGGCGGAGCTGCACCAGAAGGTGGAGCTGCACCAGAGTCAGCCCCGCCCATTCCAGAATCAGCCCCGCCCATTCCATTAGAGTCAGTCTAATTCCTTGCAGTTGTCAGACTTGATAGCATTCTGGAACCAAAGAGGGTGTTGTAGCTAAAAAATGCGAGATTGAGGACGGAGTTGAGAAGTTAATTGAACAGTTTTTGTAAAGGTTCCATATAATTAAAAATCTAACTTTTGGAACTTTTAATCATGTTATATTGTCATTTCCTCATAAGAAACACGCCAAAGCCATTTTTAGCCTCATTCATGCATTTTCCTCCCATCTCAGCTTCAATTTGGTCTCCTCCCCCGAAGCGGGTCTGGTCTTGGTTCTCAAATCTGGATATTCTGTGAATTTTCTGACAAATTATTTCTGAAATGACTTCTACTGAGACACCGCCAATAAACCATACATCCCATCTCAGAGACACACTGGGCAGCACAATTACATGTAACGCCACTTAATTTATAACAGATGTGGTGGTGTAGTGGTTATGGAGTCAGGTTGACATGCTGTTTCGCCTCCCAGTAGTGTAAGTTTTAGGTAGTTTACAACCTCTTTTCTTCATTTCTAGCTACACTTGCCAGTACTATGTTTACAACAATTTACTGGTATACCGTTTAACATATAATGTGTTTATTTATTTATTTATTCGTTTATTTAGCCAGTGTGAGTCCATTTGTGAGCAGAGTTTCAACTAAAATGCTGTTTAGGAACGACCAAATTCAAAGAACTTTTAGCGACATAAATATTTTGCTGAAAAGAAACATTACAACTAAAATATAAACAAATTGAATGTGGCTAAATAGACTGCTGATGACCCCACCGAGAATCGAACCAGCATCAGCTGAGGGGAAAGCAAAAACCAACTCTGATGATTTTACCACTAGACCACCAGAGGCCATTCAATAGACTGAAGTGCTGTTGTACATCACTTTTATTAGACCAGCTGTAGGCAGATATTCGCTAAAAGAAACCTTTTCATTTCGAGATATATTCAGTCTTTGTCATGTAGCAAGTTATATTTATCTTGTTTAATTGGAGTATAGAACATAGCATTAACGACTGTAAACTAGTAACAGCCGTAATTCATGTGGGTCAGGTCAGTTTGCGATAAAGTTGAAAACAAAAACGGAAGTCAGTGGGCTAGGCTGAGTTTGCGTGAATGGGCGGGGTGCAGCTCCGCCTTTGTGGTTTTGCAGCCAGCACCCTCTCCAAAATAACCACAGTTTTTCCCTCAGTGTCATTTGATCTATTTCTTGGGAAGATGGACAATAATTATTTTTAATATAGCCTTTTTCAATACCAAACTTTCAATACCAAACAAAAATGAACTACAATAAAATTACTGGCACACTAAATTCCAATTCTCCTCAATGGGACTTGAACTCGCCAACTGATCTCTCTTACACGACACCAAACGAGGTGCTTTACTTGATTTGGGAGGGGGGAATAAAAGCAGTAAAACAATAAAACTTTGAACATTACAACACAAAGAGAAAATAAATAATGTTACAGCAATTGCGGAATGCCATCTGCGGGATTCGAACCCGCCGCAACGACCAACCAGTAGGTGTCAAACCATGACTAATGAGTGCAAGCCTTGGCGCTCAGGGACACCCATCAGTATGTGATTGTGAGGCCACAGCACATACGTTTTAGACTGGGTGGGATTCTTATACCCAACAGGAGTCTTCTGCCCGCCTTCTCATTAGAATATGCATAATTTGTGTTTCAGGCACTAGTTAACTAGTGAGCTGCTGCACTGCCACACATGTAAACTGGTGAAATTTCAATTGTTCCACTAGTTAACTAGTGGACAAAAATGGTCAGCTTGTATGTGTTTTTAGATGTAACTAGTTAACTAGTGAGCAAATCCGCACCTCACTAGTTAACTAGTGAGGTGCAGATATGCTCACTAGTTAACTAGTGAGGTACTAGTGAGGTGCAGATATGCTCACTAGTTAACTAGTGAGCAAATCCGCACCTCACTAGTTAACTAGTGAGCAAATCCGCACCTCACTAGTTAACTAGTGAACAAATCTGCACCTCACTAGTTAACTAGTGAGCAAATCCGCACCTCACTAGTTAACTAGTGAGCAAATCCGCACCTCACTAGTTAACTAGTGAGCATATCTGCGCCTCACTAGTTAACTAGTAAGCAAATCCGCACGTCACTAGTTAACTAGTGAGCATATCTGCGCCTCACTAGTTAACTAGTGAGCAAATCCGCACCCTACTAGTTAACTAGTTGGCGTTTTGGGGCCCACTAGTTAACTAGTGAGCATATCTGCACCTTACTAGTTAACTAGTGATGCTTTTTTGCACCTTACTAGTTAACTAGTGGGCGCTTAAGGGTGCACTAGTTAACTAGTGAGCAAATCTGCACCTCACTAGTTAACTAGTGAGCATATCCACACCTTACTAGTTAACTTGTGGGCGTTTTGGGGCCCACTAGTGAACTAGTGACACTTATTTTGCACCTCACTAGTTAACTAGTGGACATTTGTACCCTCTCTAGTTAACTAGTGAGCAGTTCCGCCTTCACAAGTTTACATGTAAGTGTCACACTGAAGCCACTACTAATTTACTAGCTGAGGTTCCTCTGGCCAGCATGTTAACTTGTGTGCCGCATGCAAATGTTTGGGGTGGGATTTTGCAAAATTCCGCACTGTGATTGGTTGTCATATTTTATTTTAACATAGTGAGCCAATAGAAAGCCTCAATTTGAGAAATTCTCTGCCTCCTAATTAGAATTCTGTGCAACTAGCTAGCTAGTGTGAATGTAGGCTTGAACTAGTTTACTAGTATACATTTATGTCCTCACTAGTTAACTAGTTTGGACAATGGATGCATCAACTAGGTAACTAGTGAGCCTGCTACAATCAACTAGCTAGCTAGTGAGTCATTAATGGTTCACTAGTTAACTAGTGGCACTGCCCTACTCCAACTACTTAACTAGTTAGGAGTTTTGCCTTCACTAGTGAACATGTGGACACTTTGAACTGTCACTAGTTAACTAGTGAGACACAAAAACCTTCAACTAGCTGACTGGTATGCATTTTAGCCCTTACTAGTTAACTAGTGAGCCATTTTTGTGTCACCTAGTTAACTAGGAAGCCAAAATGTGTTCACTAGTCAACTAGTGGGCATTTCTTCTGTCACTAGTTAACTGGTGTGCACATTTTGGCCATCACTAGTTAACTAGTGAGACACAAAAACCTTCAACTAGCTGACTGGTATGCATTTTGGCCTTTACTAGTTAACTAGTGAGCCATTTTGTGTCACCTAGTTAACTAGTGAAGCCAAAATGTGTTCACTAGTTAACTAGTGAACATTTCCGTCTCCCACTAGTTAACTGGTGGGCTCATTTTGACCCTGACTAGTTAACTAGTGAGACACAAATACCTTCAACTAGCTGACTGGTATGCATTTTGGCCTTTACTAGTTAACTAATGAGCCATTTTTGTGTCAACTAGTTAACTAGTGAAGGTCAAAATGTGTTCACTAGTTAACTAGCGTGTACAGTTTTACCCTCACTAGTTAACTAGTTGACCTGTTGACAAGATATCAGAAGTAATGCTCAAGCGGCTGGCCAAATTGGGCAAAGTTAACAAGTGGGATTTTTACATTCAGTAGTCAGCTAGTACGAGTTTTTGTACCTTACTAGTTGACTAGTAAAAACTAAATGTGTTTTAACTAGTTAACTAGTGGACATTGATCTGTCCACTAGTTAACTAGTGAACACACTGAGCAATACTAGTTAACTAGTAAGATATGAAACATTTTAACTAGTTAACTAGAGAGAATTTAGGCCTTACTAGTTAACTAGTTGACATTTAGGCTGTCACTATTTAACTAGTTGACACAAACATGGCTAACTAGTTAACTAGTGGACAGAAATGGCTTACATGTTCATGACAATTCTGGCTGATATCCTGATATCAGAATAAATGCTCATTTGGCTTGCCATACTTCCTACTCCGTTTATCCACGGGCAGCAGAGGATGACAACGTCCTCTGCTGCCCACTCTCCCCTCTCCGACGATGCAGCCCCATGCACGATCCAATTTGTAGACCCCATCGTCTCTGTTCATGGTCCCACATCCACGTCTCCTTATCTCTATAGCTTCTTTTATCCATCTTTTGTATTTCTGGTGTTCGGTGTTTATGATCCTTGTGTTGTCCCAGTCCATTATATGGTTTTCTCTTGTGCAGTGATCTGTTACGGCTGACTTCTTTATTGTGCTTTCTGCTTCTTCTTTTGCTGCTCTTGTCTGTTTTCGACTTGTTTCTTTCTCACACTCCTTTCTATGTTCTATTGTTTGTGTGTTGAGTTGCCGTCCGGTTTCTCCTATGTATGTTTCATTGCATATTTTGCATGGGATTTCGTAGATGACTCCACATTTTTGTCCAGCTGATATTTTGTCTTTTGGGTGTACTAGTCTGTTTCTAACTGTTGTGTATGGTTTTGTTGGTGTGTTTATGTTGTGTTTTTTCATTGTTGCTCTTATTTTTTATTTTATGCCTTTGATGTATGATAGGGTTATCACTGGTTTTGGTTCTTGTCTTTCTGGGTTTCTGGTTCTTTGCTTAGGTTGTTCTTTTCTTTCTGTTGTTGTTTGTAGTTTTCCTTTCTTTATTGCCCATGTCGGGTATCCGCAGGTCTTTAAAGCATGTTGTATGTGTTTGTCCTCTTGTTTGCGGTCTCTTTCTTCAAGTTATCATGTTTGCTCGGTGATATAATGTTCTGATTACTGACATTTTGTGTATGGTACGGTGTTCTAATGTCCATAATAGATATTGGTCTGTGTGTTGGTTTCCTATATGTATTTATGTTTAGGGTCAGGCAGACCGATGGGACCCTAAATCAGGCCGATGGGACCCAGTAATCAGGGGCCTCATTTATAAAGCTTGCTCATGCACAAAACGGGGTCAGAAAACTGCGTAAGCAACTTTCCACGCAAACTTTGGGATGTGCCCTCTCTGCTCTCTTTGGGCATTTGAGACGAAAGCATCAGTCGTTCAGTAGCGAGAGACACCGGTGGTGGAAGGAGGCAGTTCATCTCAGTCTATAAGAGGAGTTGTTTTAAAAACGATTTGATTCTTTTAGCCAGTTCGTTTGACATCATTTACTGTCCGTTTAGCAGAAAAAAATACTACCGTAACAACAAAACACCAGTTCAGTGATGTTTTTATGTCGCAGCTTCTACAGTCCCTAACCCCAACAAAAGTTTCCTCGTGGACACATAGCCCTGCGTCTCACTTCAGGCCAGTGGAAAAGAGAACTTTATTGTTCACCTGTTCTTCATTCAGCTTTAATCCCTCCTGTAGATCCTGCTGGTTCTGTTGTTGTTTCCTGGTTTCCTGCATTTGCCTGACTCATTTTTCTTGTGGAGGTTTGTTTGCTGTCTTTCCAGCTTTTTATTTTTCATCATTAAAATAGTTTGATTGGGTTCTCCACCTATGCTGTTCAATCTTTGGCTCCACTAAAACACCTCATGGCATAAGGGTTTGGTTGAGATTTGTTTTCATACTGTAATTTGTAGCAGATTCAGCAGTAACTCCCTTTGATCTCTTCACTC